TATGCATTGCTAAGAACTTCATTTGAACAACTTTAAAGATGATTTTCTCAATATTTAGATTTTTTTGCACCCTCAGATTCCAGATTTTCAAATAGTTGTATCTCGGCCAAATATTGTCCAATCCTAACAAACCATACATCAATGGAAAGCTTATTTATTTTCAGCTTTCAGATGATGCATAAATCTCAATTTCAAAAAATTGACACTTAAGACTGGTTTTGTTGTCCTGGGTCACATATAATACTGTTTTGATCTGTTTGCTATTTGAAATGGTGGTGACTATTTATTATTTTTCATAGTGTGATATTGATGAGTTCTATTAAAACCAGTTTATGGTCAGTTTGACCTGCAATCATAATAATCATTAGTTATAACCAGTGTTGGGGGTAACGTATTACAAGTAACGTGAGTTACGTAATCAGATTACTTTTTTCAAGTAACTAGTAAAGTAACACATTACTTTTTAATTACTTAAAATATCTGAGTTACTTTTTTAAATAAGTAACGCAAGTTACTTTATTTTTCCAGTTTATTGATTGACAGCTCTCCTGTCCCCATGTTGAGAGAAATCAGATGTTACTGTAGTTCTAAAATAAATATGAATATGCATTAATTCATCTCACTCACAAAAAAAACAACAATACAGATTCAGTATTCCTCAAAATGAATAAAAATAATGCAACTCGGAATATGACGCAAACCTGCAATAATTAAATATGTTAAATAACACAAATATCCTTTATGTATTTATTCCCATTCTATTAACCAATGTCTTTGCTTCTGACCTTCGATGATCCAGTTCAACCGTACTAATAATCACAAATTACTCTAGACAAACATTTGTGTCTTTTTTTTATTGCTGAAGTGTGTTGAAATTTCTTCTTCTGCATTCTACTGTATGGATGTAAATTTACTTTCCCTTCAACCTGATGCTTATTCATTTCACTTTTGGTGTGAAGAGGCTTTTATATTTGCCAAAAATATAACTTTTTTATTTTAAAAACAAACAAGCAAGCCCTGTCCCAATTTAAAAAGTAACGCAAAAGTAACGTAACGCATTACTTTCCATAAAAAGTAACTAAGTACCGTAATTAGTTACTTTTTTATGGAGTAACGCAATATTGTAATGCATTACTTTTAAAAGTAACTTTCCCCAACACTGTATACAAGTGTTCACCTGCAATGTATAAAAAGCAACGCATACCTGCAAGTTCACTAAAAAGGTCATATAGAATAAAATTTCTTCATCGTTTGAGATAAAAGAGTTCATTGCACAATAAAAAGTGTGACATGCTCACATTTACCCATCAATGAGACCTATTCAGTATTCCGGTAAACTGAAACGCACCTAGTCACAGGAAGGTACTAAAAAGAAAGCTTCATAGATGCTGTTTATCATTTGGTCACATTTTTGGTCACACCCACAATTTCGAGGGTAAAAAGGTTGATTGTAAATAGTGTGGCAATGCATGAAGCACAGCTCACACAGAAGTCACTTTTTTTAAACCGAGCAGCTTTCTATTGGTTGATGTGGAAAATTCAGGGAAATGTTTTCACCTTCATGCAAAACTCCCATTTGTGCAGGAATATAGCCTGTGAAATTTCACCAAACAACTGTATGTGAGACCACACCTTAACAGCAAATAATAAGAGTAAAATGTGGGAATGTTGGTCGAACATTGTGTTTCTAGCCATGTGTAGCACCTGAAACTTTGCATATTTTCTGAAGAATCCCAATATTACAAACTGCAGATTTCCGCATGGATTGTTTTGTGAACAATGTAATGCTACTTTGTACAGAATTTTATACTGGACCCAACAGAAAACCCATTGTCCACAAGTAAATAGAAGACGGCCTTTAAAAGCAAATATTAAAGGGGTCATATGATGCGATTTCAATTTTTTCCTTTCTCTTTGGAGTGCTACAAGCTCTTGGTGCATAAAGAAGATCTGTAAAGTTTCAAAGACTAAAGTCTCAAATCCAAAGAGATATTTTTATAAAAGTTAAGAGTCAACCACGTCTACCTAAAACGACTCGTCCTAACACGCCCCCACATGTCTACGTCACGATGTCTACAATGCCGGCTGTTCTGACTCGCATACTGTAAGTACGTTTTTTATATTTAAAGAATTTGCAACTGACGATTCAAACGCGAGTTTTGAGCAGTGTAGAGTAGCACTTGTTGTTTGTCATTTCTCCGATCACAAATGCAGACATGGTTTCATGTTTTTTGCGATGCAACACAACGCGTAAAAAGACAGTATAGGTCATTTATAATCCGTAATTATGTCCCCACTGGATGCAACAAATGCCTCGTTTATAATGGGTTTTAATGTTTATGTCTCGGCACTCCGGCCGGGACACGCCATCACAATATGGTAAGGGGCGTGACATTTCTGTCACACGCTTGAGGTATTCGGCCAATCGCAACGATCTGGATAGCTGGCCAACACCTCGCTTTTCAGACCGATGAGCTTTGTAAAAATCGACGCGTTTCAGAAAGGCGGGGCATAGAGGAGAAATAATAATGTACAGTATGTGGAAAATAATGTGTTTTTTGAACCTTAAACCGCATAAACACATTTCATTACACCAAATACACAAAATAATGTTTTTTTAGCAGCATCATATGACCCCTTTAAAGGCAAAGCAGCAAAAATTTAATAGGCAGAGAAAGAGAGGGAATTATGACTATTTTAGGTGCACAATTGTTATGATTGTGAGTTTAATTAATTTAAAAGAAAATGCATGATGTGACCCTTTTAATATAAATGCCGCTTACACATTTCAGTGTCATTTAAGGAAAAGGCCTTTTTCATGCTTTGTTTCTTACATTCAGCAGGTAAATAAATTGGTGTTTACTCTTTTTGTGTGCAGACGGGAGGTACAGAAGAAGTATACAAAGAGCAGAAGAGACAGCAAGAGTTGGAGAATAACTACAAATTTGTCTGGGGAGACAAACAGGAAGAGAGCCAGTCCACAGGAAACAGTGATTCTGATGAAACAGACTTTTGAGCCTTTTCCTCTTCTCTCAAGCAGTTAACCTGAAGAAGGGCATCCAGCGTTCTCTGAACTATAAACTGCCTGGTCGTCACATGCATCAAAACCAAACTGCTCTCTTAGACCATTTAAGTCATGTGAACCCTGTGAGGGATTCAGTCCACTGCCGTGAATTCTTATTTTCCTGAATGGGCATCTGTGAGTGGTTTATATTCTTGCCTGATTTCAATCTTGGAATTTTTTTTTTAAACAAATATACAAAAATACACATTTAATTTGTGTTGTGCTTTATGTCTGTGTGTGACAGACCATTCTCCTCTCTCACATGCAGACAAACCATCAGTTAGTATGCATGTCAAAGTTTGTTTTGCAAAGACAGTCTGAACCAACATGTTCTCATCCTTGGACAAACAGTGATTTTGTTTGTCTTGGTTGCTCTTGAAAGTCAGAAAATCTTGATTCAGTACAGTATGGCGGTGGAGCTTGATGCAGATTGAATGAATGATAAGTCACTGTAATGCAAATTGAAGCAGTGTCCTACCAGTGTTTTCTTCTGGCACTTAATTCATATGTTGTGTTTTGTTTTTAATATTGTTGGCCACTGGTTCACAACTGTGGAAAACATCTACAGCTATTCAACAAATCCTGAGCCTGGCCCTGCCCTAAGCAAATTATTCAGTGTACTGCTTCAGTTTGATCTTAATTCTTAGTTTAGAACTTGGGACAAAAACTGTTGCCAAACATTGGGAATCTACTGCATTTAGCCACTGATTCCATGTTGCCAGCAGACAAGGGCTCTCTTTGTTGTAAATGTTTTGAATGATCATCATACTTTGGTCGATTGTAAATAATGTTGCTACAGCATTTGATTTGTTTGTTGATAATTTAAGGCATACTTTCAATTTAAAGCTTCTGTAAGCAATTAAGTAAAAAAAAAAAAAAACATACCACTGAAATATGTCTTGAGACATCACACTGTCTCTGTGAGAGCCCCTGTGGTTGGCAAACAGTAAATTAAAGTAGAAGAAAAAGTCTGACGGTGGCCCCAGCAAACACAGAACGTTCCCCTACCGTCAGTTTTTGGTTCCCGTTTTTTTTTCTTTTACCAAATACTAACGTTCTGGGAACCAAAAATTGTTAGCTGGGCCACGAGATACGAGATTTTTGTACTACTAAAGAAAAGTTTAATCTCAGAAACCTGTTGAAAATACATCGCAAATTCTTATGTGAAAGATGACGGAACAATAAAATGTACGATATGCTGTGGTCTACAATAAATATGAGTTAATTCATAGGTTTAAACAATGTTTAGCCTTGAAGGTCTCACATTCAAATTACAAGCTCACATCATGTCTTCTGAGCATTGTGACAAAAAGCATTTTCATTCTGGTCACAATTTTATTGTCAGTAAAATCTAACAATTGATAGTATACTTATATAAATATAAGGTAATATACAATGTGAATAAATCGGGTATAATATTATAAAATGGCGAATAACGTGATTAACCTAATTAACATAACTTACAAAATATACCCCCCCCCTTACTGACAGCTTTCGAAATAAAAGTTACATTTGTTTTTATATAATGCTTGATTTAATAAAAAAAATAATAAATTAGGTTACTAAAATTACTTAAGTAAAATTTGCTCATTTTCTCAAAGGGTTGTACTCATACGCATTTAAGAAAGCAGGCACGACACGACTTGAACGATTCCCTCTATTACAAGCGGCGAACCAGGGACGTGCAGAGAGTTCCTCAGGGGCAGGGGCTCAAATGTAAAATGGGGGCAATTAAAAAAAAAAAAAATTATAGGTCAAAAGTTTGGATACATTACTATTTTATATTTTTGCAAGTCACTTATGGTCATCAAGCCTGCATTTATTTGATCAAAATTTTAATATACTTTAAAATACATTTTATGCAATGTTGATTTATTATCAATGTTGGAAACGTGATACTTTTTTCAGGATTCTTTGATGAATAAAAAGTTAATAAAAGAACAGCATTTATTTAAAAATAGCTTTTGTAACAATATACACTACCGTTCAAAAGCTTGAGGTCAGTTTTTTTTTTTTTTTAAAGAAATTTAGTTTTTATTCAAAGAAATTAGTTTTTATTCAGCAAAGATGTATTAAATTAATAGAAACAGTGATAGTAAAGATTTATATTGTTAGAAAACATCTCTATTTTGAACAAATGCTGTTCTTTTTTTTTTTACTTTTTATTCATCAACGAACCCCAAAAAAGTATCACAGGTTACAAAAAAATAATTAAGCAGCACAATTGTTTCAAACATTAATAATAAATCAGCATATTAGAATGAGTTCTGAAGGATCATGCACTGAAGACTGGAGTAGGCTAATGATGCTGAAAATTCAGCTTTGCATCAGAAATAAATGATATTTTAGTATATTTAAAAAAAACATTCTTTTAAATTGTAATAATATTTCACAATATTACAGTTTTTTCTGTATTTTTGATCAAATAAATGCAGGCTTGATGAGCATAAGGCACATTCATAATGCTGCATAATTATCAAAAATGGTAATATAATAAAGTCCTTTCACGTCACCATTTCGCCAGCCTGCACTTCACATAATAGGCCTGTAGGTGGCACTTGGGCTTCATTAACTATGATAGTTAAGTTTCATGAAATAGTAAACGATGTAGCCTATCATACATAAATATAAGTGAATGGAATACTGACCATTATTGCAACTTTTGGCGCAGCACGGTTTTGTGCAGTCCTTTTGTAGTCATTTAGCATCCATTTTCTTAGCGATGTAGGCCTAATTTGATTTAAAAAATGAGACAAACCGCAGATCCAGATCACTCCACAAATAAGCTCGTCTGTCCCATGTCATTTTCAACCGATTTATGAATAAGAACGGAAAATGAGCGCTCTACTTCACATTATTGTTCAATGAAATTTGAACTTGTGCCAGATCATAGTTGGCTGGTGTATTATACATGACAAACGGGCATTGATGAATTATGTAATATTCAAAAATATACAATAGGCTATAATTTTAAATTATATGGAGCTTTCTATTGATGTATGATTTGTTATGATAGGACAATATTTGGTCGAGATACAACTATTTGAATATCTGGAATCTGAGGGTGCAAAAAAATCAAAATATTGAGAAAATCGCCTTTAAAGTTGTCCAAATGAAGTTCTTAGCAATTCATATTACTAATCAAAAATTAAGTTTTGATATATTTACAGTATGAAATTTACAAAATATCTTCATGGAACATGATCTTTACTTAATATCCTAATGATTTTTGGCATTAAAAAAATCTATAATTTTGACCCATACAATGTATTTTTGACTATTGCTACAAAATATACCCCAGCGACTTAAGACTGGTTTTGTGGTCCAGGGTCACATTTGTCTGAGACTTGGCACTTTTGAATAATTTTAAAAAAGGGCAAAGCTACGGTGGCCGAGAAGTGTAAAGCAAATCACAATTCTGAAAACAAAATAACAAATTACAAACGCAAATGCAAGTCTAAACAACAAAATAACAATTCAGAAAACACAACAACAATTCAGAAAACATTATAACAAGTCAGAAAACACAA